GGGAAGGAACTTCGGCAACACATCCTCGTCTCCACCGTCTCCACTCTTGGTTATCTCGTGCCTTTATTTAAGCAAGCTTACTTGTTTCATATCTCTTGCTTGCTTGTATACCAATCCTCGTTGCATCATATAGGTTGCTCACCTAGTTGCATTTCTAGACAACCTATTTTGATGCAAAGTTTAACTTGTTAAAGAAAAGCTAAAAATTGTTAGTTGCCTATTCCCCCCCCCCTCTAGTCAACCATATCGATCCTTTCACCAACGCAGATCACAAGTAGCACCCGCCGCCACCTCCAGGGGGCTACACCGTCGATGAAGAAGCCGCCGGCCCGTCCCGGACAGATGGGGCCCAAAGGGGCATAGATCTGAGCAAGCGAACGCCGCCACCAACGACCACGCCGCAACGCAGTAGACCACCCGCGCCGACACAAGGTCACCCCCCTCCCGCCGCCTGGCAACACTACCCAGCGCTGCTCCGCCCCGTGCAGGAGCCGCACCAGGAGGGGAATCGCGTGGGGCCACCACCGCCGGGGCCGCCCCGGGCTGAGCCCGGCGACGGCGGGGGGAGAGGAGGTGAGGAAGGGGGCTGGGGGAGGGAGCCGTCGGTGCGGCCGGTCACCCGCCGGGAGACGAGCCGGTCGCGAGAGCCGTCTGGTCCCGAGAGCCCTCTGTTTTACACATGGTGAACTGTTTTTCATGTGTCTTTTCGTATATAAGAAGCCGGGTCAATGCTGTCTTTTTGTATATAAGATGCCGTGTTAACTATGTATGGAAGGAGATTTATTTGTGAGAGGAAATTTGGAAACTTTTGCAGTAGTTACCCAGATGTCAATACAACACACACACACACACACACACACAGCACAGCACAACATGAGCCCAGGGAGAAATCCAACAGATGCAGGCTGGCCGGTCGGTTAAATTTCTATGATATGGCGAGGAACCATCATCAAGTTAGGGATGTTATTAGCCAGAAGTCCACTTCAACAGTGAAAACTTTTGGTTCACTAAGTTTGAATGAGTTCACATCCGAGGTGAAGAGCTCACCTGCATCAGTGTCTGAACCAGCACGGCATGCAAACTCATTAAAAGGACATGTATCAGCATCTGACAAATTGTCCCAGGTAAATGTGCCGCTAAATTCAGGAACTGATGTTTTGCAAAGTCAGCAAATTAGCAGCCCTGCAAAGTCCAGGAGTAGATCTTCTGTTCGTGAAGATGGTGGCAATTACAGTAACAAACCAGTAAAAGATGCGAGCTATTTTATTACCTTTTCTATAGGTCCATGCAGTTATTTTTCGTTGCATACTTTACAGAACTTTCTGTAAATTTGTATCAGTTGCATAGCTTTTGTTTACCTCTACATCTATGATGATGACCCACTCCAATAATCCCCACGTTAATCTGAACCAAAAGGAGAGGACCAGAACAACACACATGATTTTATTCATTGATGGGTGATTTAGTAGGTACAATCCAATCAAGTTTGTCCAGCTCCCTGATTGTGTTCCTCTCCAACCTTTGAAACTCAGTTTCCAAGTTTAGCAATCCAGCATTTATTATAAGGACTCGAATCCTTCCCCCCCAAAAAAAAACTTGTGTTGGATTGAATCAAAGAAGCCAGACAAAAAGCCTGGTGCTCCTTTGTTCGAAGAACAAAAACCCTAGACTAGATAGAACTGACACAAACCTCGCAAAAAAAGATAGAACTGACACAAGTATGGAATTATATAAAGTCATAATGCATCACAGAGGAAGATAATATGTAGAAGTCTGGAAACCAATTAACGAATGGGTTTAACCAATGCCACAGAGCACTAGAAACATGTCCGAGCATCAACAGCTCTCCCATATATCTCCTGGGGATTTCTCCCTAGGAACCTTTATTGCTTATACTTCACCAGTCTTATTATTGTTACTAAAATAAAAGCAGTTCTTGAGTTGCCCCTCTTCTGGCAGGCCTAGAACGGCATGCCGTAGTCGTCGCCCGCAAACTGCGGGCTCCAGACCCCGAACACGTTGCCGGCGACGCCGGACTGGTTCGCAGGATCGGACACCGGGGCGTCTCCAGCGGCGGGCTCTTCAGCCATGGGTTCGTCCTCGACGACGTTTGCCGGGTTTGCCTGCTGAAGCGCCTGGTTCCAGGCTTTGTCTACCTGGAGCAGTTCCTATGGTGAAATGCCGTCTACCTGGAGCAGATCCACTAGTTCAATGCCTTGCTGCTCCTACCCCGGTCCTTCCATCTGGTTCGTCAAGAATTTCTCCACCTCTTCCCAATCCCAGTCACTGAAAGGCTCAGACTGCGCATTCTCTGCGGCAGGGTGGTAGTTGTCTATACCGTCAAGCAGGGCATTGCCTGCTAGATCCACCAGATAACCAGCGCCCATGGCTGCAGGAGGCACCTCGTTCACTTCATGTGGAGTAACTGCGGCGTGCGCCTCGTCCATGGTGTCTTTCTGCAGAGTAACTGCGGCGTGCACCTCGTTCATTGTGTCTTCCTGTGGAGTAACTGCGGCGTGCACGTCATCCTTGGTGTCTTTCTGCATGTCATCACTCTCCAGGTTGATGACAATCTTGCCTGCTGCTTCAGTAAGACTGATCTCCTCTCTCTCTAGGTTGATGAAAATCTCGCGTCCATATCCATCAAGTGCTTTGCTCTGTACAGGCAGCACCTCGCGTTTGTATGACAGGCTCTCATTATAGTACTGCAGGCTCTCCTGGTACCAGTTCCAGATAGATTTGGTACCATGTATCAGAACTGGAGGTGGACGTGCATTAGTCTGAGAAACTCGTGCTCCAGCCGAACTCTCCCCCACTTGTCCCCACCGCTTTCCGGGGTAATTGTACCACATAGCAGAGGCTGCTGAACTTCCCTCCATGTGTGGCCACACCATCCCGGGGTACTTGTCCCAGATAGAAGAGGCAACCCCATGTGCGAACTGCGTCTGGGTTGTTGCCAAATGATTATTGGGTTTAGCACTGGGTGCCTTGTATGCTGATGACTCATCTCAGATAATTCCTTCATGCTGGCATAATGTTGATAGCCCTCTTCATCATGAGATAACCTCTGCCTCTGCACTCGCAGCCGGTGTTTCTGCATCACAATACAGAACAGAACATTCAAGACAGGGATCACACATCACAATATAGAAAGTGAGCATAATGAAGAAATTTTAGCATTTTAGCATAACAACGCTGAAATAGATGAACTTGAAACTTGTGGAGTATGTATTTTTTTTTCTCAAACAAGCGCCCGGACATGTTTCGTTTCGTATTAGAAGGAGAGTGCCAAGAAAGCACAAACAGTCACAACAAGGCCAAAAAGAAGCCAAAGCCCTACTCCTAGCATCAGCTAAGGGTAGACCAAAGTTACGTCAATAAGCCGCTAATTTAACCGATAAAGGAGAAAATACCTATAAAGTAGTACATTGTTCAGAAAATTCCCATTAACGTGATAACAATTATTAATCAGTCGATTTGGTAAACTGGGTTATAATAATGCTTTGGATAGTCTGATTATTTACGAATTCGGTGCTAACATGCATAGAGTTTCTTTTTCAATTGTGATTGGTTCTGTAACAAAATCTACTCCTGAAGCTGCATGGTTTGGAAATTTGAAATCTTATCTAGAGCACCATATACAAAACTTAATCTCCATGGCATGCGACTACTGAGTACTGACGTAGGTATGATACATCCATGTAAATGTGTTTCTTCTGGAAAATAAAGAAATAACAAAGGACACACAGTAGTATCACGGTGGAAACATTCTTTCCTTCCAAGTTTATTCAGTTAAATTGGAATCTTGACCCTTGTATTTAGCATGCAAGCCTGCCAGTAACTGTGTGAGCTTTTACTGGGGTATGAATTAAAAGGTCAAATATTAAATAAAGTTCTCTTCCAATTTTTTTCTTCAACAGTTCAACAGTGTGCACATAGTTCTTTAAAATTTTGTGAAGTCGGACACTGTTGCCACAGAAAATTACCCAATTGATTGAACAATGCAGAACCTATATTTACACAAAATAAATAGCAGAGGGAAATGTTTTATTTTTCACACTAAGATCAAACCAATAATAAAAAATTAATTATGTTGTTGTTGTTGCTATTCCAGTAGGTGTTTGTTTCTCTTTTACCTTTTTCCCTTTTGCCCAATCACTGTATGTTAATGAGCACATGAGTTGGTAAAAGGACTCATCTGCACGTAACATCAATTTCTTTGGTCACTCAGCCTCCATGCGTTAGTTACCGTGTTCCTCAAAATCTTGCCGAATCAGAAATCCGAATCCGAGTCAGATTCGGAGACAGTGACTTTGTCCGAGCAGCACTAGCTACTGGTACTTAACGTGCCAGGGTACAAAACATTGATAAAGGTGATGACCAAGCGGTGGCATACACCTGCAACTTCAGGAATCGTGTAATGATGACCACCGTGATCAGATCTCTTGCAATTAGCTGGTTCTGCAAGATTAGTTTAGGCAATGCTGCAACCGTTCTGTTGGCTAATCAATATATATGTGCAGAAATGGCAAGTGCATAGTAGCTTCCATCTCTACCAAATATTCATGCATGGGGGGATCAGGTTGGCAGTGGCAGTCAATAGCCAATGGCCACGGAAGGGGGATAGTCAGCTGTAGTGGTGGGAACCAATGACTGGACAGAACAATGGCCATGCCATCAAACTTCAAGGCTATAGCAGAATGACAATATCATCTTAATTAGTGGCAAAAACAAAAGGTTTCGTTCGGGAAAGTGCATAGGATGAAAGAAAAATATAAGGCTCAAATGCCAAACGTTCAGTCAGTTTAAACTAACTAGCATGCATAGGTTGTCGGCTTCTACTACTTATGATCGTCTATTGAACAAACAAAATTTAACAAAAAAACGTACATAGTGCCTATTGATGTACCGGCAATACCACAGTTGAGGTAAACTAAATCGATCACCCACATGGAGATGGCTTGCAACAAGCTGTATGGTCAAATTCAAATCCTTGGCATTCATGTACTGGTGAATGTTTCGAGCCGTAGCAGCTGTTAGCCAAAAAGAAAACAGACACTCAAAGGTCAAGCTTTTTCAGCTGTTAAACATAACAAACGACTAATTTATCCAAGTGCAGATAGCCTTACACGGCCCAAGCACTTCAACAGCCTGCAAGAACTTCTCATGGAGCTCACTGCTCCATAAGAAGCAACCCAGATTCTCTGAATAGACATTCACGTTCAACGCATCTTGTTTTTCATCCTCAGTTTCAGACCTGTGATTTTTAATAGACCTGTGTTGAAGTGCTCTCATCCTCAGAAAATTGACGGTTTCAGTATCCAACGGCTTAACCACATTGAAGCATGTTCCAAGGGTCATGCGTGTAGAGACTGCCTCATCATAGGCACACATAGCTGCAACCAAGAAACAACACTCCTATATTAATGAGTTTGGGATGGAAGAAAATTTCTTAAAACAATACAGCTCTGAATACAAATGCTTACTGATGAGAGGCACTTCAAGTGCATTCAGGATGCGGTGAAACAGCACCAAGGTGTCCATCTCTGCATTGCCAGGATGAACTTCCGCTACTACCAAATCAAGCTCCTCATTTTTAGCAACCCCCCTTTTAAGGGAATCTAGGGCCTCTTCCACTGTTTCGAATGGAAGAACTACAAAACAGTAGAAGTTAGACTCAAAATTTTGGAGTGTAAACACCGTGTTATCATGTCCAAATATAGTTATGTTAATATCCCAACCTGCATGTACTATTGCAACAAGTGAGTATCTTCTAAGGACTAATATAGCTACTTGGTATGCGATTTTTCTCATTTGACCACATAATCCAACACTTTCTGCAATCTAATAGCACTTGGAAGGGGGGCCCAGTAACTAGCAGCTAGCTATATCCCATTACGAACTACATATGCTGCCTCCGTTTAAACTGTGAAGTTCACACAATATATTACACACACATATGCTATATAATCTAATGGTCAGGGTGACGCAGTAACACTATATCCTATATGGGAACTGCATCTTTTTCCTTTCTGTTTAAAAATGTCATAGATCTACGGAAATGCTCCACATATATATGATGGTCGTACGAGCTATACATGATACCGATGACAGGTTCACTGCCATGTAGGGCCATAGCTTGCCAAGCTTCACGTCATGAGAAGCGTTCTATATCCACACACGAAAGCCATCCAACCGTTAATTAGTGGTCCAGATCATGATGGATAGAACGCATAAATTGTCCCATTGGACGACCGTACACCCAAACTCCACGCCAAGCAGCCGTATACCCAAACTTCCCGCCAAACAGATGTACACCCAAATTTCCAGCCAAACAGCCGTACACCCAAACTCCCCACCAAACAGCAGAAATATGAAATATCTGAAATTCGATCAGATGTGAATGTGGATAGAAGACACCAACAGATATCAAATCGTGCCTTTTATAGTAGCCCCATGAATATGCAAAATCTTGTGCAACAGATATCAAATCGTGCTTTTTATAGTAGCCCCATGAATACTATCTTTCATTCTCCCTCTAAAAACAACTTCCTTTTTGGACAGGAAGGGGAAAATACGGAATGGAGATGCTTGGGATTGAAGTGTGCACCTTTGAAGTTGAATCTAGCAAGCGTATTGGAGATGGTCCACAGGGAAACCGGATCTCGATCAAGAACTAAAACTGAAAGATTTTCCATCAGGTCAGTGAGACCCTATGGGGCGGAAACGAAGTCTGCCAATGTTTGTGGTGGATCTAACCATATATGGATCTAATACCTTCTTTTGGCGTGAGACCTTCACCAAGGGCAAAAGATAGACACTATATACCAGACGATATCAGAAAAGGACAAGAATTTAAGTAGACTCCATCTAAGTTTTTATTCAAAAGCTGACCTGTATTTGGACAGGGAGGTTGAACAAGATATACTTACTTGAGAAATACAAAAGTTAACATCATTATTTTGTCCTCTTGTGCTTCTTCAGTTTCCAATGTAAAGAACATGCAAGACCATGTACAATGCAAGCCGGTGCTTATCTGTAGAGAGCAGATGCTTAATTATGCACCCCTGTCACAGACATAAGCACCGGTGCTTAAGAAAAACACAGCTTGTTTTACTAAGCACCTCTCTGAGCATCTTGCATTGTACATGGTCTAAGAAGGTGTGAACCCTTCCCGTCATGACTTCATGTTATCTGTTCTCTATCAGCACGCTTGCTTTTGGTGACTAGTGATGAACGATGTAATAATGATGGCTATATGTTCACATGTATTCTCAGTATGTTCATGGCTCCAAATTTACCTAAGGCGCATGTAGGGCACATGCATGTTCTCCCTAGCTCTCGCCCACAGTACTATTTTTTTTCTTCATTCAGTACCTAGTGTTCATATGAAAGAAACAAAGCAAGCAGGCAATTCACCTATTAATTAGCAAACGTATCAATACTTCAGTTGCAATAATTAGAACTTCCAAGTCCTAAAGGGTCTCAAGTCTCAATTATCAAATTTCAAAACAAACCAAATGGTGATGTGCTGCCTTAAGATGATTCCTCAAGAAAAAGTCTGAAGGGTAAATAAGGTAATTTATTGGCCAGCTTCATTATTTATAACATGCAACAGTTTCACTGATTTATGGCATGCTGTCATGCATACCAAGAATTCTACTACAAAGAGTCCTCCTGTGGACAGGTGTCGTGATGACATGTCATATAATCAATGGGTTAATGCATGCCGGTGAATTTGATCTTGTGGTGCTATCTGGCGCATGGTTGGCAATGTTGCGAGCACGCAATCCTACATGATGTATGTGATAGAGGCAAAGGTGTCCCGTCTTTCGATGAGATGATGGATATCGCTTTGGTGGCAGTCGACTTTGACGATCCGACTACGAACGTGCGAGGACGTCGCGCCTTAGTAATCGCTAAACCAACTCCGAGAGGTTATTGACCATGTCGGAGCACGATCAACCTGACCACGAGGGTCTGTTTCCTGCGAGCAAACGAAGAACAAGCAAGAAACTGAGATTGCAATCTGGATATTGCGAATATAAGATGAAAGCTTTAATGATCAAGGTGGGGTTCTGTGACGCCTTTGTCTGGTCGTTGAACACAAACGAAGAACGCGAAGTTGCAGCTATGGCGAACTTTTAATCTAAACAAAACCCGAAGTCTAAACGATGCCCTAAGGGCTGTATATATGGAGGAAGAGGGGGGGGATTTCTTGGCCCTTGGTGGAGGGGTCCGAAATCAACCCTATCTCTTGTTTCCCCACACATACGTACTCTAAAAATAGCCTATACTTATGTATTTTGAAATTACATGGGCCTGGCCCAATAATAAGGTGACGCGGCACCTAAAATAGCCTCGGGAAGAAATTTATGAAGTGGCATCTTGTATATTTCGTCCAAGGCTTCATGCACCCATTATGGTGGCTTCAAAGTCCTGAAATCATCACTTGTAACTCCGTTCTTGTTCCCCTTGCGCATGCCATCATCTCCATGCTTGTTCTTGCTTCAATGTTCATCCTTCTCCAAGCTAGGCCCTTCATTTGTAAGCAAAACAAATGTATCCAATTTTGGCAGCATCATATTCTCATGAACATTAGAATCATTACCAAGAAACGAAAGTACCTGGTAATTTAGTTGGCGTGCACGAGCTCTAGTAATTGGTCCAGTATGTATAGCAGCAGGGACTATGGGTGTAACAATTGTATTGATGTCCTCATCATCCTCCCCTTCTTGAAATGAAGTCGTCCTCGACGGAAGTTCATCTTCCTCACCCAAATAAGGCTTCAAATCTGCAATGTTAAAAGTGGGACTAACCCCAAAATCTACAGGCGGCTCAAGTTTATATGCATTATCATTTATTTTCTCTAACACCTTAAAGGGACCATCAGCACGTGGTATTAACTTTGATTTGCGCAAATCAAGAAATCTATCCTTACGCAAATGTAACCAAACAAGATCTCCAGGTGCAAACACAACATGTTTTCTACCCTTATCTCCAGCAAGTTCATATTTAGCATTCATACGCTCAATATTTTCCTTAGTTAACTCATGCATTTTTAAAATCAATTCAGCACGTTGTTTAGCATCAAAATTAACCTTCTCCGAAGATGGAAGAGGCAACAAATCAATAGGTGCACGAGGTAGGAAACCATACACAACTTCAAAAGGGCACATCTTAGTAGTAGAATGCAATGAACGATTATAAGAAAATTCAATATGAGGCAAGCATTCCTCCCACATTTTCTTATTATTCTTCAAAACAGCCCTAAGCATAGTAGACAACGTTCTATTGACTACTTCAGTTTGTCCATCAGTTTGGGGGTGACAAGTAGTACTAAAAAGCAGTTTAGTCCCCAACTTAGCCCATAAACATCTCCAAAAGTGGCTAAGAAATTTAGTATCATGATCTGAAACAATAGTATTTGGCACACCATGCAAGCGAATAATTTCACGAAAGAACAAATCAGCAACATTAACAGTATCATCGCTTTTATGACATGGTATAAAGTGTGCCATTTTCGAGAATCTATCCACGACAACAAATATGCTATTCCTCCCCTTCTTTGTTTGAGGTAAACCTAAAACAAAGTCCATAGATATATCCTCCCAAAGAACACTAGGTACAGGCAAAGGCATATATAAACCATGAGGATTGAGTCGTGACTTAGCTTTTTGACATGTAGTGCAGCGAGCAATAAAACGCTCAACATCCCGTCTCATCTTTGGCCAAAAGAAATGTGTAGCAAGTACGTCCTCCGTCTTCTTCACGCCAAAGTGTCCCATTAATCCTCCTCCATGCGCCTCCTGCAACAACAAAAGACGAACGGAGCTAGCTGAAATGCATAGCTTGTTAGCACGAAACACAAATCCATCGTTAACGACGAACTTGTTCCACACCTTTGCCTCTATCAAGCGATATCCATCATCTCATCGAAAGACGGGACGCCTTTTCCTCTATCTAGTAATTGGTCCAGTATGTATAGCAGCAGGGGCTGTGGGTGTAACAATTGTATTGATGTCCTCATCAGTATGCATGAGCACTAATTGCACCGATGTACAAGATAACTTCACAAAAGACAAAAACCAGTAGTTGTAGCCGCGATTGCATCACTATCTTAATGCCGCAACAGACACTCACCCTAGCCCCAATTGCATCACCACATCTGCTCTTTTTAGGCAGCAAACCTACATATCTATCCACACGATAATGTACCAACAAAAATAATGAGATGTGCGGTTGATTTCTACAAAGAAAAAAAGGTATATAACTGATTCCTTAACAAGGAAGATATGCGAATGATGTTAAACATTGATGCAGCCTCTAAGTGGGATGGGACAAACTGAGGAAGAAACAACCAGGGCCAAGCCTAAAATCAATAAAAAATTCTAAAAGAGAAAGTATCCACGCTATGGGCGACCGCCCTGGTTTCCAATGCTTGTCACCACACCTATCCCAAAAGATATATGACATGGCCCGTGCCCAGTGTGGTGCATATGTGCTTCTTGAAGGAACTGATTGCCCATCTCGAACACTCCAGGAAGAGATCCCATACCAAATGCCCTTCAAATTTAAACCTGGAAGCCTGCTTTTTCTTCAGATAATCGAACCTGGATTCACATACTGCTAAGCAACAATCGAAGTAGTTGCGACACAGATGCTTTAACCAAAACTATATCGAAGTAGGCAGACGCTTCAGAATGGTGCGCACATACTGGGGGAGGGAACGACAGGGTCGATGGCAGCGGCGCCGCCGGCTAGCGCGAGGCGTAGGAGGAGGAGTCGCGCCTCCCGACTGGGCGACGTCGAGATCCCTCATCTCTCTCGTCGGCGGTCGCCACCTCGCCATGCGCCGCCTCGCGAGTAGTACGGTCGTGGCACACGGGGATTCAGACGAAAACGGATGGGCCTGGCTGCTCATGGGCTCAAAATGCTTTAGCAGAGTGGGCCCTGACATGGCCATATGAGATGGCCCGGCCATAAAAGGGCCTTGTACGAGGAACCTCCTATTATGTCTCAAAAAACGAGGAACCTTCTCCTAGAAAAACGAGGAACCTCCTATTACCCCTCCAATGAAAAAAAACGAGGGAGCTCCTATTTGACGCGACCCGACGCACGCAGAGACACATGACTAAGGCATGCAGAGTAGCTAAACCAGTCGACCTAAGAAGAAGCGTTCACGTTGGAGGGACTATGGTATCCCCAGCCCACCAGCATTTAATTTCTGGTGCTCGCATTTATTTTTGGATTTATTTCAGGATTTTCGGCGATGCGCATTAAGTGGGAGAGACGTTTCCGTCGACGACGAGGTGCCTACGATGACTTTCTAAATTTCAAGATGATATGTCGGCTCGGTCTTTCGAAGGTGCTCATAGGGGTAGGGTGTGTGTAGTGGGAACGGATCTGACAGTAGATGTAGGAGGTATGTAGGAAAGGGCAGAGTCTAGCTACGACGAGATTGTACACTCGGATTTACGAGTTCAGGCCCCTCTCGGAGGAGGTAATGGTCCTACGTCTCGATGCTGCGAGAGCTTTGTTTGTTTTGAGTGTTGACTTACAGGGGGTGCGAACCCTTGTGCATGAGGAGAGGGGCGGCTTATATAAAGTCCACCGGCCCCTCGTAGCCCTCAGTAATGCAAGGGTTCAATGAGAGAGTAAAGATGAGAACGTTACTGGTAACGCCTGTAATTAATGA